ATAGTTTTCCATTCAATTCCTTTCATATATATCCTAACTCAAATGTCTGTTATTTCCAAGTAGCATTAACCTTTTACATTTATATCCAAGAATATTACCATTTCTATAGCCCCAAGTGCTTTCATGAGGTGATATGCAGTGAGAGAAATATATAAAGGTAGCTGGTTTACAAAAAAAATTCTGAGTTTATATGTACAAACTCTTCCAATCACGCACAGCTCTCATACGAGATATATACATATATATATATATATATATATTAATAGTCGCTGGGAAAATAAGTATTAAATAATTGTCAGGTTTTGTCACCTGAACTCTGGTATGAGTTAAAAATTTTTTTTAAAGTCCCTATTGATTAATTTAACAGTGCAGTGAAGAATCTAACCAAAGACAGAATTTGGTTGACTTCAAAGTAGAGACCAGATTTAGCAATGGAGAATAAAGCCCTTCTTTGTTATGTTATGGCCCACAAGTTAATCCAGAGAGCTCTGGTGGGCTTAGCTGCAGATAGGAAAAAGAATCTAACTAGATTTTGAGGAACATTTTTATGCAGGCAGGCCAGGTCATGCTTATCTAAGGATTCTCTAATTGAATGCCATGAAGAGATGCACTTACCACAAGCTGCAGCAGCAAGAATGAAAAAGAGAGAATGAAGCAAAACGAAAAACAAGGTAACTTGGGAGTGGGAATGAGAATGAAACTTAACTGAACAAAAACTCAGAGCATTGCTTGCGTGAAATCAGACCACGCGATTGCACTCTGGCCAACTGGAACCTGTTGTATTATCCATTTTTGTCTAATTGGAATAGCTTGTTTTCCACGAGACTGGTCAGAATACGTTTGAAACCAAATATTCATTTAATGGACGTGCTAATGATTAGCAATTAAATTATTTACAGCTTTGAAGAGTATTAGTCAGAGTTGCCTAAAATAATTTTCCCTCAAAAACACCCTAATAATGTTTAAAAATTCACAAGGCATTACCTGTTTGCTCACCTTATAACCAACCCGTTTCACAGTCACACACCTTATCAACAATCCAACACCAACACTATACCAACAATGCAAGATAAAGAGGAAATTTGGCGATACTTAGATTGATTCAATTCCTGCAGGGCTTACGCCATTTCAGACAGCACCGTAAAGTTATTTTTTGACATCTGCTTTATCAGTAAGAGCAAGAAATACAAAGGCAATCTAAGAAGCGATGTTTCTCCTAAGGAGATGACAATCTGAGGAAGAAAAACACATACGGTAAAAGTCAGAAAATAATTCAAATGCTAAATTGTCGGGTCTCCAAATACAAAAGAAGTTCCAGTGAGTGTGATCAATTAAGACTAAGGGTCTGAAGTGAGCTTTAGCAGACAAGGATTTGAACAGGTAGCTGACAAGAGAGGAGAAAGGGCAGCCTTCAAAAGCGAGGGAAAGAGAACTGGAAGCATCTGTGCTCTGTCACCCGGGGTAAAATGGTATTTAAGTTTTAGGAAGCTGAATATAATTACGTTATGGGAGCCAAAGTAAGAGTGGAGGTTTCTAATCACAAGGAAATTCCTTAATTCATACAATTATCATATATAGCTGAATAATGATACATCCCTGATTTGTTACTGGAGAGATGGGAGTTGTTGCTTCTGAAAACCTATAGCCCCCCTATTTCAATTTCTAGAAAGTCATTTAAGCCAAAAAAAACTTTTCCCCCTGTGAGAAATTCTGGCTGGGTAATGATTTGTATTGTATTCGCGGCTAGATATAACTTGGATGGGAGAATGAAGACTCGGGTGAGAGGCTGGATAAACTTACGGCGCCGTATTATATAACTGAAATTTTCACTTTAGCTCCAACATCAGGTATTTTCCCATTTATCGAAAACATGTAATAGGGATACTGATTCTTTCCTTTGCTTTTCTAAAAACAAAGTTTTTATTCTAGAAGTTTGAGAGTTTACATTAGGACACACCTATCATAATGAATAAACCAGTATTAACACATTAAACTCCACACTTCACTCAGGTTTCCTCAGTTCCTAAAGTACTTTTTCTGTTCTGGAATCCCCTTTAGGTTACATTACACTTAGTTGTCATGTTTCCTTAGGCTTCTCTTGGCTGACTGCTTCTCAGATTTTCCTTGTGTTTCGTAACATTGACAGTTTTGAGTACTGGGTAGGTATGCTTTATTTTAGAGGAAGGGAGACAAACGATCGGCCACCTCCAGTATGTACCCCAACAGGGGATTGAACCCACAATCCGGGCACTTACCCTGACCAGGAATCAAACCCGTGACCTTTTGGTNTTGATGGGCCACCTCCAGTATGTACCCCAACAGGGGATTGAACCCACAATCCGGGCACTTACCCTGACCAGGAATCAAACCCGTGACCTTTTGGTGCAAGGGACAGTGTTCCAACCAACTGAGCCACACGGGCCAGGACCTGGGTAGTTTTTTTTGTTTTGTTTTTAATATATCTTTATTGATTTCAGAGAGAGGAAAGGAGAGGGAGAGAGAGAGAAACATCAATGATGAGAGATTCATTGGTTGAGCCCGCAACCCGGGCAATGTGCCCTGACCGGGAATCGAACCCTGAACGCCTAGATCCCAGGTCAATGCTCAATCGCTGAGCCTCGCCCAGCTGGGCCTGGGGAGGTATTTTGTAGACTATCCCTCAATTGAGATTTGTCTGANCAGGTCAGTGCTCAACCGCTGAGCCTCGCCCAGCCGGGCCTGGGGAGGTATTTTGTAGACTATCCCTCAATTGAGATTTGTCTGATGTGTTTCTCATGATTTGTCTGGGATTAATGTTTTTAGGAGGAAGACAACAAAGCTCTGTGTTCATCACATCAAATTAAGGATACTAAATCAGACAAGAAAAAAAATCAGCATTCACGAATTATGCCTCCCTTTATACCTTTAATTATATTTTAAAAACGAATTCCTCTCTTTTGTCTTAAACCAAGGTAGGTATTGGTTCAATGTGGAAACTGGGTTGTTATTAACTGCCCTTATTAAACAGATCCTTTTAAATAGTTCTGGAAATGAATTTGCTACTATAGGTGAATAAAGAAGGCACAACATGAATCTTTTAGGCACTTTTTATTTTCCAAAAAAAATTGTCATTAATATATAAACATCTCATTCTCTCAAAAAAATTCTACAACTATACAGCTGTTTGCTCCATTATTTGCATAGGAAATGACCACAATACAAAAATAAGAGGGGAAAAAGAAGCAAAACAGCAACCGATTTTAGCTTTTTATGTAGGTATGTTCCACGTATAAACATTTTGAAGCCTCTTACAAAATATTTACACCACTTGTCATCTATTTACATGTTTTAAGAGCAACTTTTCTAACAAACAAAACTATAATTTATCAAGATATGAAAATTTTCTAAAAAAACTTACTATATTACCACAAAATAAATAAAGATAAACAATATTTTAAAAACAAAATTAAAATTTCATTTCAATTAAGACCCCTTTTGGCATTTTGCTTATTTATTCTGCCCTTTGGTTAATAGCATCAGCATCACATTACTATTTTATATTGCATATATGTAGCACTTGCTTCCTTAAGTTTTCAACATGTCATCTGTAATTAAAGGTAGACACTGAGTCAGTATGAACAACAGATTAACTAAACTACACTGTAATTTAGGTAAAATTACTGTGTCACTGTATATTACATGCAAAATCCACACAAATTGGCATTTAACCAACAGTACTGCACGAGCAAATAATCTCAGTATATGAAAACTGCATCATAAATTCAACATTTTCATATATGAAAACTGCATCATAAATTCAACATTTTCATATATGAAAACTGCATCATAAATTCAACATTGCCGTGTGAAAACTACAGTAAGTCCTCCTTAAAAATGATACTGTTTAGCTTATTTTAAGAGGTTTAACTTTTGTATATTGTAACTATCTTTAAGCTCTTGAGTTCACAATTCATATAAAAATGTCTTTCATATTTAAAATAAGCAACCCTATTTTAATCAGTGCATTAAATCTGCTTTTTACGTTCATTTGAATGATTATTTCTTTCCCCCTAAAGAAATGAATTTGGTAAGGTTTTTAGAGGTATCTTACCACAATTCTAACTGTAAATGTATTCATGGTTATTTTCAAATTACTTTTGATTTCTCCCCAAAAGAATCTTAAAAAACTTGTAATAAACCTATAGAGCTGATTTGCATATTTACAAAATTTTGAATAGCAAATATAGGCAACTCATATAAAAAACAAAACAAACACTTATTTGTTCAATGGCTATCTGTGAATTGCCAGGTATACTGCGCACCTCTAGGAATTACTCTGTTATCGAAAAACTACCTGATGTCAAGTAAAATCTTGACATACAATCCAGCCTTCTTCCTGTGCCTACCAACTGACTTGTTTACTAAACACAGTCACATTAAATGATGGTGCTTAGGTAAAAACACTGCAAACACACCTTTGACTCCCACCCCCCTCCCCAGGCTGAGATGCGGCTGCCTGTCATGAGATGAAATCTGCTTAAGTAAAGCCATACATTACAGCAAGCATTCCAGATTCTTAGAAGGACCAGACACTTTGGTATTGATACAATGTACTCCCTGTTTTCTCAAATATACAAAATATACATTTCCAGTTTTTCTTTCTTTCTTTCTTTCTTTCCTTTATATATATATATATATATATATATATATATATATATATATAT